GCAGCTATAAGCAGAGAACCCCTCCACTTCCGGCCACAGAAGCAGCTTCTCCTCTTTTCCTGGAACAACGGAAAGGTGCTTCCCCTCCCCCGCCCCCAGGAGCCAATCTCTCCACCTGCCTTCAACACCCTCCCTCCTTCCACCTTTGCAGTGGCTTCCACCTGCCTGTGCAGTCTGCAGTCTCCCTCTCCACCAACACCATCCAGCTGACACTCAGGTCTCATTCATCCATTAAAAGTAACACACAAAGCCGGGCACAGTGGCACACACTTGTAAGTCCCAGCACTAAGGAGGATAAGGCAGGAGGAATAAGAGTTTTGAGTCCAGCTTGGGCTGCACAGCAAGACCCTGTCTCAAAAAGCAAAAACAAAATATATGCACACACGATGCCAGCCTCCCTCCCCCTCATGTCCACACCCTACTGCTCTTGCTCTGTGCTTTATTCTTGGTTTTGCTGCCAAACTGCAGCAGTCACATCTTCTCTCCCTTCCCTCCCATTTACCCTAACCCCCGCCAACTGAGCCAACACACTGACGAAACTGCTCTCCCCACAGTCATCGCAACCCTGTCATTAAATCTAACATCCACTTTGTGGGCCTTAAGTTTAACCTGACCTCGAGGGGCACTTAGACTCTCCTGACCACGAGGCCTCTGCAAAGAGAAACTGACTGCAGCGGAAGAGGTGGTGATGACTGATGCCTCTAAAGGAGCTGGCGATGCCTATTTCTCAACTTCAAGTCTGCTTCCACATCAGCAGTTTTAATAGCCAATGAGCGCCGGCGGCCTCTGGGAAGGCAGGTCTTTGGGTGGAAGGCCCAGTTCTGAGGAGGCATGACTGGAATCACAGAGACAGGGACTCAAGCCTCACCACACACTAGCTGCATGTCTGAGCAACCTTCTTAATGTCTCTATGTCTCAGTTTCCTTATCTGTAAAGAGCAGTGCCAGTATCTACTTCATGAAGTGTGAAGATTAAATAATAATACACTTAAAGCACTCAGCACAAATAATGGAAGATCTCCGTAACAGGACATTACTGCAGCCTTATAAATGATGCAGTATGGTGTGCTTACTGGCGCTAGCACAGAGAGACATTTGCACTGTAGGAAGTGAGCTGGGTGCATACAAAATACTCATTTTTATAAAAGAATAGAGAAAAATGGCTCAGAAAGAGATCAATGATTATTTCTGACTGCTGAGCTTATAGATATTCTATCACTGTTTTTTAATTTGCATTTTCTAACTTTTCCATAATGAGTATGAACTGTATAAAGGAGGAATTAAACAGTTTCTATTCCAAAAAAGTAAAGCACCTGATAAATGTCCAAGAATTATGATTATTCTAGGAGCCACAGAGAAAAGAGCCAGGAGTTGCCTGCCCTGAAAGGCCTGGGCTGGCGCCCACCCTTGGAAAGAGAAATACTCACCACACAGATGTGGTGCAGCACTTCTGATCATTAAAAAAAAATTTTTTTAATTTTGGGGGCAGGGTCTCACTGTGTAAGTCAAGCTGGTCTTGAACTCACTATGTAGCCCAGGCTGGCCTCAAACTCACAGTGACCCTCCTGCCTCAGCCTGCCAAAGCCTGGGATTATAGGTATGCACCACCACACCCAGCTTGGTCATTAAGTCCAATATCCATCCACCCACCTCTGTCCTACAGTGCTCCCGGTCCTAGGCTCATTTAAACTAAGGAAACAGAGCTCCGCAGTCTGTCTGATGAGGTAACTGAATTAGGATCAAGAAGCTGCAGCCTCCGAGGAATAAAACAAGCACTCGTAAACTTCATTCTCCACCCGGCTGCCTTGGCCTGGAACAAAGGTGTAAGCAGCCAGGACGGACCAGGGTGGAACCCTGTGCCCCCGCCTGTCCTTTCTCCCCATGCTCCTACGCATCCTTTAACACAGCTTTCAGAAAGAAGGCTCCAAGGACAGCACCAAGAAGTTAAACCTGGTGTCACTTCTAGAAACAGGAAAAGTGGACAAGTCTGGTATGGAGCCGGGAATGGAAGACAAGAGAAGATGCGCAGTAAAAACTGCAACAAGTTCATCTTAAGGCACTGGCATCACAGCCGAGGGAAAATGTGGGACGAGAACTTGGAAAAGGTTACTCTCAGTCAGTTTCTCACTTACAGGAAATCCGCCCCTGGAGAAGGGACAGAAATAAGGACAGAGGAGGAAAGGCAGGCAGGCAATAAATAAAAAAGAAGCCTAACGAAGGCTGGTGAGCTGTGTAGATACAGCAGCCTCTGAGTCAGGAAAGGAAGTCCTACGAGATTTGCTTTGGGCTCAGCGTGGGGTAAACTGCAGGGCATGGGAATCAAGTGTCACCGGGAAAATGTTACATTCGGCCAGTACGCCCCACTACAGAGTCAGTCACCTTGCCACCTGGCTGTTTACAGCAGCAATTCACGAAAAACGGGTTCTGCATTTCACTGACCACAGGGTAAAAAATAAGTCCGCCCGAGGAAAAAATAAATAAAAGGAAGTAATTCCTGGAATTACATACTTCACACTAGGACCTCAGAGGAAAGACTACCCACAGAGGCACCTGCTGAAGGTAGTAACAGAGAAACACACCCAGGTACAGACAAAGCTTTGAGTGTGAACCAGGAGTAGAACTGCCCCAACAGGGCGGTACCTTCAAAACCTGACAAAGGCTTAACCGTACATAGAGAAAGGAACTGTGAGGCCACTGCATACGTAATTAGCTAGACATAGTTATACCTGAACCGAGGTCTTCAAAATTACTGTCAAATGGAAGAGAGACAGAAAGCAGTATACACTGAAATCCACCTGCTCCTGCGTGTGTGTATGTCAATGAAAAGAAAAGACTGGAGGGACACACACCACATTTTAGCAATGGTTGCTTTTGGTAAGAAAAACACTGAGTAGGACCAGGGAAGATGCAGTTTTCTACTCTGTATTCTGGTCTTTTTGAGACACAGTTTCACTATGCAGTTCAGGCTGGCCTTCAACTCACTATGTAGCCCGGGGTGGCCTCAAACTCCGAGCAATCCTCCTGCCTCAGCTTCTC